CTGCGGGCCTCCGCACCTACCTCTCTCTGGGCTTCTAGTTCCACCGCTAGGATGTGCCTCTGGAGGGCGGGGGCCACTTCTTCCGAGAGTTGGGGCGCTGAGCGTCTCTTAACGTTGCAAAACCAGCGTGGGGGCCGCATTCTCTTCCAGGACATGCTGAAGCCTCCCAAGAGGAGTGGGCAAAACTCAGGACGCCCTGGAAGCCGCCCTGGCCTGGAGAGGAACTGAACCAGGCCCTTTGGGAGCTGCAGGCCCTGGGTCCTACCCGCGCAGACCCCCATCTCCGTGACTTCCTGGAGAACCACTTCCGGGGTGAGGAGGTGAAACTCATCAAAGAGATGGGCTACAGCTGACTCACCTCTGCAGGCTGGCCGGCCCCCACGCTGGGTTGGGCGAGTATTTCTTCAAGAGACTCACCCTCAATCACAACTAGGAGCCTTTGGAGCCCAGAGGCCTTTGAGGGGCCCCTCTGCATTCCCCTGGTGTCTGTCTGGCTTTTGCCTGAGCCTCTCCCGCAAACACTAGCCATTCTTTTAACCACCCTGAAGCCCTCTCCCAAGTATTGGGACCAAATGGAAACAATAAAGCTTTTTGCACCAAAGCAGCCAACAATAGCCGTCTGGTGTGAATGAATCAAAATTACACCTATTTTTTTTGTTGTCAGGCCAGCAAAAAAAGTAATATTTTTTTTTTGGTGTGCCACAGAATTTTAGGAATTAGTGTATGTGTGCCATGAGATGAAACACGTTGGAAATTGCTGTGTTACAGCAATATAATGCTAAGCAAACAAAGTCCCAAAAGATTGCCTACAGGCGTGGCGTCCTTTTCAATTAATTACAATTATTATCTGCACTTTTTAGGCAGCACGTGTCCCTACAATAGAACTATATGAAAAGAGGCAAGAGGTGGTGAATGGGCGATTCCGGAGGTTCCTTCTGGAGAGGAGGAATGGGCAGAGGAGACGGGGAAGCTTGTGGTTACAGTTAAATGGAGGTTACATCATGGTACGCTTCATGGTGGCTGCATTATTAAAAACAGGAAGGGAGGAAGGAGGCCTTGCGTGGACCAACGATCACAGTGTGAGAGCGTCATGAACCGAGGATGATGACTCATCTGTGCACTTCAGGACAAAAAGGATGCACAAGTTGGTGCATCAATTTTGAACCCTGGTTTTGGACAAACACTTTTCCAAAGCCTGCTCCTGCGCGGGGACCAAGGGCGGCGCTGCTCCCCGCTGGCCACAAGAGGGCGCGCGCC